TTTTATAACAAGTGAATCAACAGTCATCATAAAAAGTTTTATCATATTTACAACTTTGTCGGTGCATCACTTTATATATTATGTGGATTACACTTCACATAAAATTTGTCATATAAAAAATCTTTTTATACTCATGATAATATACTCACATTTAATATTTTTTAAGACAAGACAAATAGACGCAAAGTGACTCAAGAAAAATAAAAATTAAATTGGATAAAAATTAAAAAAAATTTCTAAAAGTTCTCGTTGAAGAAAAGCTCAAAAAATACTATGGTGCAAAATAGTTGTTTGTGTTATATATATATATATCCCCACTGATGTACATATCTATCAATCTCTGTAAAAAATATCTAATATCAATAAGGGTAAGGTGAGCCACCTTGGTGAGTTTATCCACTATAACCCAAAAAGAATCAAATTTCTTAAGCATCTTAAGGCAAAACTACAACTAAGTTCATAGATACAGAGTCTCACTTCTAAAATGGGACGTCTAAAGGCTGCAAAATTCCTAAAGACTTCTAGCATACTAAACACGAGTACACAAATTACTCTACTTCTCTCTTCACCTTAGGTCACTACGCTTCTGCTGTGCCACTCTGATACACTTAGTAGCTCCTAAATGAATGCTAAGAGTATTCTTACATTCTTCCTCTAAGATCATTTTCCTTAATTGGGGATTACTAGGCACATATATTCTATCCTTGAACCCCAAAACACCATCAACTTCCACTCGTAAGGCTATTTATTCCTCTACCAATCCTCTCCACTTGGTTCACTAAGAAAGGATCTAACTCTTGGGCTTCTTTAATCTCATCCATTAATCTATTAGTCCTTTCCAACATACTCAATCCAATGCTTTTAAGGGTGAGCTCACACATCACGCTTAAGTCTCTAACCTCCTCAATTAAATCCAATTGTTAATTCATCAAAGATGATAGGTGAATAGTCATCCTAATCAAGGCATCTATCACAATATTAGTTTTATTTCTATGACTCTCTCCAAAGATCAAGTGCTTAAGAATAAGTTCACTAGTTACACATACTCGGTCATAAAGTCTTACCACTCCATCTATACTTAAGGCAACCTCTTATCCATTGCCATGTTTTATAGCCTCATATCTTGTCACTAAAATGAATCAACTAATTATGCTTTTCCAATTTCTTTCAACGATCCACTTGTTACTTGAGTCATACCTAGTTTCAAATTACTAGGAGTAATCTGACCAGTCGAACTTAAACCCCTAATTTGAGCCAAAAGATCCATCCCTCTAATCATAAAGGAAGATAAATATAAAGGTTTCCTACTCAAAACATCGGTCACCACCTTGGCTTTGTCGAAATTCCAACTATCTCCTTTGTCTCATATTCAACTCCTTTAGTCAAAAGATATTTAAGGCTCTTATGATCACTAAATACCTCAAGCTTAGAATCATATAGGTAGCGTCTCTAAATCTTAGTATAAATATTACAACCGCTAACTTAAAATCATGGGAAAGGTATTTCCTCTCAAGTCCAACTTAGAAGCATCACAAAAGACTTACCAAAATCCAGTAACATTAACATTGACACACTAGTCAATCTTTCTATAAAAGTTTGGAAACTACTCTCACACGTACTATCCCACACAAAGACAACACTCTTCCTAGTCAATCTAGTCAAAGGTAATGTTATCTTAGAAATTTTCTCAATAACCTCCCATAATAATAAGCTAATCTAAGAAAACTCTTAACCTCACTAATTGACTTAAGTATCTCCTACTTAAGCACAACTTCTACCACAGGTAGATCTACGTTATACCTCCGCTAAAAATTACAAGGCCTAGAAAGCTCATCTCATACAATCAAAAATCACACTTAAATAACTTAGCGTAAAACTATCTTAGATATATTTTCACCCTCAACTCCAATATGATGATATCACATCCTAAGGTCAATCTCACTAAACACACAAACATTCACTAATTGATCCCTAAGGTCATCTATCCTCGTATCAATATATACACATATCAAATCATATTAGAATACCTACTTTAAACATTCGATATATACCATCTCTAAGCATGTACAAATCAATCACCATTTACTCCATATAGCATGTACATGAACCAATTTTACCACATAGCATCAAACAACCACAAACAACCTTTCAATCCATACGACAACGCCTTAGAACATCATAACCAAATTAGTTTTTATCCTTACATTGCCTAACAACTCAAAACATCATGACACCGTACATATCCCTTCGACAACTGTCAAAGAAAATGATACTTAGAGAGTTATACTCATCCAAATGATCTCAAACCTATCTCAAAATAAAGCTAAGAGAATAAGCTACAACTCTTATGAAAAAAAGATCATCTTCTTAGCTAAAAAATTCAAAAGCCACAACATATATATTCAACACTTAAAACTAGACCTCTAATCACTAAAGCAGCTATAACTAGGGATGGCAAATAAACCCGTACCCGTGGGTAATACCCGAACTCGTCCTGACTTTGACGGGGAATACCCGCTTTGACCGGGTACGGGTACGGGTACGGGTAAAACCCGATAAAAGAAATCGGGTACGGGTACGGGGACATGTATATACTTACCCGCCCCGTCCCCGTCCCTATCCCCGTCCCCGGTTAAATACCCGTCCCCGTATAATCATTTTAAAAAAAATAACATTTCAAATATTTATTGTAGGCCACGCTGAGCAAGCAAAAACTTAGGGTTTCAATTTCTCTCATTCACACTCCAGCACTCTTCTTTCTCCCTCCGAGCCACCGCATCAGCCTTCGAGCCACCGCATCAGACCACCTGGGCGCATTATCCGACGATCTGAGTCACATTCCGACCGAAAACTGGTTGTGCCTTTCCTGTAAGCAGGTTCTGTGCAGCCGTTTTGTGAACAATCTGGTAACATGCGGTTTGGGATAAATTCAATTTTTGCATTTGCATGATTTCACCCACTTTGTGTTTCATTCTCTCATTTCGTTCCTATCATCATTCCGAGCCCTGTGATTTTGTTTTCCATGTTGTTCTTCATTTGTACCTTAATTTCTGCCTTTTCATTTATTAGTATTTAAATTTTGGTTTATGTTTTGCTCGTACTTTAGTATTTCACTGTTTTGGTTTTAATTAAACCCGCATGAATACTGTTTTGTGTTGGATTATTTTTGATTCGGTTTAATATATTGTTAGTTCAGTTTAAATTGAATTGTCTCTGCCTTCGCTTTGACTGTAGGTGGCAACGACTTTGTAAACAACTACTTCCTAGTGGAGTCCACTGCTAGGTCTCGTCAATATCCACTCCCAGACTACGTCAACTTTCTCATCTCTCAAATAAATAGCCTTACGAGTGGAAGTTGATGGTGTTTTGGGGTTCAAGGATAGAATATATGTGCCTAGTAATCCCCAATTAAGGAAAATGATCTTAGAGGAAGAATGTAAGAATACTCTTAGCATTCATTTAGGAGCTACTAAGTGTATCAGAGTGGCACAGCAGAAGCGTAGTGACCTAAGGTGAAGAGAGAAGTAGAGTAATTTGTGTACTCGTGTTTAGTATGCTAGAAGTCTTTAGGAATTTTGCAGCCTTTAGACGTCCCATTTTAGAAGTGAGACTCTGTATCTATGAACTTAGTTGTAGTTTTGCCTTAAGATGCTTAAGAAATTTGATTCTTTTTGGGTTATAGTGGATAAACTCACCAAG